TTCCGGTGATCCTTCCGCCTCAGCCTTCCGAGTAGCTGGAATTACAGGCGTGCGCTACCACGCCCAGCTGATTTTTTTATTTATTGTAGAGATGAGGTCTCTCTGCCCAGGCGGGTCTCGAACCCACGGGTTCAGGCAATCCACTCACCTCAGCCTCCCAAAGGCGCGGGATTACAGGCTGAGCCACTGAGCCCGGCTCACATTTCCAATTTTTAACACTTATTTTTCTTAGTTTGAAAGATCTCAAATTTTATGTTCTTAAGCTTTCCCTACTGAAAATAGTAACATTTCCTAGTTGTTAACCATCAATCAAAATCAACCTTCTAAATATGGACATAATGAAAATATACACAAGATGTAAATATTTTAATAGATATAATTTTTAAAGATAATTTAACTTTATTCAAATGTTCACTTTCTCTAAAGACCCAAGTAATCAATCACATTCGGATATCTGATTATTTTTCTCTACAGGAAACTGAAACAAACCTGACTCTTCAAACATTTATTATAACAATTCATCTCATTTACAATTTTCCTATATGTGTCAATGATATTTCACTTAGGAAATGTCTCGGTCTGCTTCTGATACCATTCATTCAGCATCAACAAAATCAGTTTGTTTTTAAGTTACCTAGGTCATACTTCACCTCTGTGAGGTAGGGAGATACACAATGAATCAGAGGCTCTATAAGGCAGTATCTGTATTGTTTGTTGTTTCTTTTAGACTACTGAATTAATGCTGTAAACATGTGATTAACATCTGACTACAATTGTTGTGTGTATTAACAACTGCTGTCCCCCTTATAGAATGATAGGGCAGCTGCCACTGAAAAGTAAATAAAGTATTAGCAAGAATTTCTATGTTTAGCAGGTTAGCAATCTGACTTAGTGAAATTACTACTTAGGAATTCAGTTCAGTAAGAATTTCTTTACTTTAAGAGGCATAACTAAAATCACTCACTTCTCTCTTACTTGTATATTATCTATGCACATGATTCTTTAAGAATCATTTTACATTCACTCAAAATATTATGTGGACAGTTAAAAAAGATAGATGCTATAAAAGATTATAACAAAAACCACAATTTCTAGTCCCCTCCAATACTGTTGCCATAGATAAGACACTTAAAATCTTTTTTCTTATAACATTTACTTTATTGCTAAATAATATGCCTATAATGCCATTACTGGTTTATCAAGACATTATTTGTAGATTTGTTCTTATGACAAAGGAGGCAGCTTTATATTATTTAATCCCACTTCAATTCCCCCACAACAAAGTTACATATAAAATTTTGGCTAGATCAACATCCAGTATTTACATTGTATATACAAATATTATTCATTACTGAGCCAAGTGTACTGTGATTGTATTTTTTTGAACAGTGCTTGTATTATATTGTCTTGTTCCTTCATATGCTTAATTTTAAGTACATACCAGTAATATTTCCAGAATTCCAACAGATCTGTCAAATGCCTATCATTACTATTTTTCAGATGCCACAAATAATCAAATAATTTATTGACTCCATGTTTTCCCCTGAAACCTCTATCTTTTGCTCCAACCCATACTGGTTACTACTTAAGTCTCCTACAAATCTGAAGTCCTCAGACTTCCACTTCCTACCTTTTAGATTCCATTTTCTGGACCTCATCCTTTATTAGAATCCTAAGAAACGGTGAGGAAGATAAAACTTTTTGATTCCTTGAATATGTAAAAATATCTTGTTTATCTGCAGACTTACTCATAGCAAATATCCAGCTTAGGAGTTTTTCAGACTATACTTCTCTGTTAAATCTTCACATCTTCCTTTCCTCATCAATTCCTTTAAGCTACTGCTCTCCTTGGACTCAATAAGAAATCAAAAATCATCTCATATCAACTGTCAAATATCACTCTAAAGTTCTTATTGAACTTTCCCAGACAGCACAATCACTGTTATCCTTTTTGCTAGTCTCCACATTCAATGCTATTCTCACAGTCTTTTTACCATACTGGGATTATCATCGCTATGTGAAATCCAGTAGGGCAGACAGACTCTAAGGTGGCCACCCGATATCTAAGCCAAAGGTAATCCCCTCTCTCTGAGTACAAGTATGACCTGTAACTTGCATCTAACTAACAGAATATGGCAAAGATGACAGTATGTATGTGATTACATTTCATAAAAATAGAATGCCATTCTTGCAAGAAGATCACTCTTCCTTACTGGCTTTGAAGAAGCTGCCATGAATGTGAACTATCTAAGAAGGCTATGTTGCATGAAGGCAGTCTCCAGCTAACAACCAGCAAGAACACAACAACAGCCTATAAGCAATTGAATTCTGTCAACAATCACATGAGCTGGGAAGCAGATCCTTCCCCAAATGAGGTTCTGATAAGACCCCATCCCTAACTAACACTTTGATTATATAGCCTTGCAAATGACTGAACTCCTGACCCAAATAAACTGTGAGGTAATAAACTGTGTGCTGCATTAAGCCACTAAGTTTGTGGTAATTTGTCATGCAGCAGTAGATGACTAATACATTCAGCTAGTTATCTCAGCTTAAACAATTCATTCATTACAAAAAAATAATTACTGAGCACACTTCCTAAATGCCAGGTTATAGCACTATTCTAGGCACTGGCAACACAGTAATGAAGGAGACAAAGGAAGGCCCTACTCATGACAATTAGTAAACAAAATAAATAAAATAGAGTCAACTAGTGACGGGGATATTTGAGCAAGGACTAAATGGAGTGAGAAAGTGTGTAATGAAAAGATCCTGGAGGGAGAGTAAGTAGAGGAAACAGCAAGACTTAAAGCCTGTACACAGGAGTGTGGCAGGTTCAAGGGAGAGAGGAAGTCTGAGGATAGGTCATGTCGAGTCTTCTCTGTCTCAGTGTGATGGAAAGCCTTTAAACTGTTTTCAGTGGGGACTGTCATGATTTGATTTGTTTTTAAAAGATCACTCTAGCTGCTGTATAGAAAACACAATAGGTTGGAGGAAAAAGAGAGGAAAAGAAACCAATAAGGAGACTCCTTAAAACAAGAGATGATGATGGTCTGTACTAAAGTAGTGGTGCTAGAAATGGTGACTGGTAATAGTACTGAGATACAGTCTGAAGGTATAGCAAATAGCATTTGCTCATATCTCAAATATAGGACTTAAGTGCGAAAAAGATGACCTCCTTGAGGTTTAGGGAATTCGCAATTACATGAATGCTACTGCCATTTACTTCAATAGGGAAAACTTAAGAAAAAACTGATTTAGTGGGGGAAAAAAATCAGAAGCTCTGCTTAAACATATTACATTTGTCATGTTTAATAGACAATCAAGAGACAAGTCTAAAATTCAAGAAAGAAGTTGACTTTGAAGTTCAAAATGTATTAGCTTATAGATGATTTTAAGACCTCTGACATCATGACAGCACATAAAAAAATATACAGACAGAAAAAAGATCCAAGGACTGAATCCTGTGAAAACAGGAAAATAAGCCAGTAAAGAGAGAGCAAGCACAGCCAGTAAGGGAAAGAGGGGAGTATACTGTCTTAGAAATAGAGAAAAAGCTTTGAGTGAAAGAAGATCTACTATAGCAAATGATGTTGAGAGAGCAAATAAGATGAAGACTAAGAAATTACCCCTCAATCTATGAGAAGGCAGTCACTAGTGATCTTGACAAGTTAAATGGCAGGAAAGAAAGACTAACTAGAGAGATGACAACAAAGAACAACAAATAAAGATGTGGAGATAATAAAAATGGTGATTTCTATAAAAGAACCAGTGGAAACAGTGCACTAGATTGGGGGTACAAGCATGTGAGTGAGGTCAAAAGCAGAATTCTTTTGTAACTTTTATTTTAGGACAGGAGGATCATGGCATGCTTGTATGCTGCCAGAAATAGTCTGATACAGAGGGAAAATATAATACTGGAGAGAAGAATGACAGCTGTAGAGACAAAGTTCTTGAATAGACAAAAAAGAATTGGTTACGGTGCACACATGGAACTTAGGCTTTAAATAAAACAAAAACAAGTCTCCCACAGGAAAGGTAGAGTGGACATGTGTGTACTTACAGTGAACAATAAATTAGAATAGGTCACTTGGGAACTGTATCACCTACATATAAAAAGCTAAATTCAAAATCCAATATTCCTTCCAAGATTAAAATCGTTAAGAAGAAAATACAAGGCAAATATTTTAATTACTAAAGCTAGTTACATGCAAATCAGAAAAAGAGACTTTTAAAAAAAATTCTTCTCAGGGGGGTAAAACCTACCTGGACTCTCCACTCTCTTATAGTGGTATGGGTTGATACAAACTTCTTTTTGCTTAGATCCAAAAGGAAATTCACAAATATCCAATGGCTTTAACTCATGATGACTCTGCAAATCAGGCCAGCGCCAAACACGACAATATATAACATGGGGTAAGCCTTTTCTGTGAGAAACCTGCAGGCGTCCATCTAAAGATCTGGGAATAGTGACACATTTGCTTGGTTGTCCTGGACTGCTCAAGGCTTTCTCCAGTTCCTCCATGGCACCCTTTTTCTTTTTTAGCTTTTTTACCAAAGCATCAACTGCCTTTTCTGCCCATTTCTCCTCCTCATCACCTTGCTTCCAGCCCAACAATCGCTTTACTGCTGGACTAGTAAAAGAAAACAAGCTGGCCATTGACGTCATTTGATACAGATCTTCAGAGACCTTCCTGTAACTCAAAGTCAGTGGCTACTGAAAGAACAGATCACAGGTGAAAAGTCATATACAGGTCCTAAAAGGAAGTTCCAATTAAAAAGGGAGGAGTGACATTTATCTTCACAAGTGCCATATACTTCTTTCATTTGTTCAAGTCCTAAAAGAGAAAGAAAGGATCCTAATTTAAATCATTCAATTTATATATATATTTAAATCATATAATTGAAATGTTATTTTTAAATAACAGCAGAAAAACATTACAAAGTAAACAAAAATCAAAAATTTTCTCTAAAAGTTCTGTGACCACTGACTTCCTTCTTTATAACATGAACAAAAAAGTCACTGATGCTGCCAGATGAAAACCAAAAACAAAACCAGGTTGTTCTACCTTCCTATGTATTACCCCAGAAAACAGGCCTCTGGACTCTATTTCCTTTGGTCAAGCCACTAAGCTTAAACGGTCTTTTAAGATTAGATTTTGAAGTATCTTTCCTTATTAAAATCCATGTTACATGCTATGTCAGTTTTGAGCAAGATTATGCCCTGATCTGAATTAAAGTCCCAAGAGAAACCTAGCTCTTTCCTAAGGTCATTATTCTCCTTAAAATGGTTCATAAACTTTGTATAGGCCGGGCTCGGTGGCTCAGTCCTGTAATCCAAGCCCTCTGGGAGGCCAAGGCGAGTGGACTGCCTGAGCTCAACGGGTTCGAGACCAGTCCGGGCAAACTGGCGAGACCTCGTCTCTACAATAAAATAAAAAAACAGCTGGGCGTGGTAGTGCGCATCTGTAGTTCCAGCTACACGAAAGGCTGAGGCAGAAGGATCGCCGGAGCCCAGAAGGTCGACACTAGGGTGGCCGTGAGTGTGCACGCCACTGCACTCCAGCCTGGGCAAAGGAATGAGACTCCAACTCATACACACAAAAAAAGGTTGTGTAAGATGTACTAAGCCCTCAAATTAGTAACACATATAAATGTCAGTAAAGTGGCAAGTATCTATTTTTAAAACTAATTATACTGAATAAATTTAAAGAGAATAAATTCAGAATTTAACCCAAAAAGGCTCAGTCTATAATTTTGTAATTCATACTGGTTTCTGTGTTACTTTAAGCATATTAATTAATGAACCTGTTCTAGGCAAACTGTCATTCTGCACCATTAAAAAGCTCCTGGTGATGATGACAAGAGGAAGTGATATGCACTGGCACTCCACTGATAAGAGTGGATAAAATCGCTGGATGAAATGGCACACACCTGTAGTCCCAGCTACTTGGGAGGCCAAGGCAGGAGGATTGCCTGAACTTAAGAGTTTGAGTCCAGCCTGGGCAAGATAACAAGATACCATCTCTAAATTAAAAAATAAAGAGAGTATGCAAAATTCCCTTTTAGATCACTACACAGACAACTACAGACAAGCAGCTAGTGAAATGGCAGGAATAATATCTAGAAAAAGGATGTTAGTAACAAAAGGTGTTTCCTTTCTTGTGCTTAAAATCACCAAATAATGCTATACCGCTGCTTTTGAGACATTCAAGCAAATTTTAGCATCAAGACTATTCTGGACTGGGGTGTATCTTCCCATAAAACAATGCATGTGCTCAGTTAAAACCCAGACAGTAATATAAAGCAAATAATAACATCAAGAAAAACTGACTTAAACTCAAGAAATAATTATTGATTGCTTATGTGTCAAGTACTGTGAACAGTCATGATGGAGCTTTAAAAACTTTAAAAACTTTATATCAAATAGGTCTCATCTTAAGAGTCAACAGATTCATTCTTCCAAAATATTCTGAGGGCCTACTAAGTGGCAATGGGTGCTGATCAACTACTAGTTGCTATCCAGTCTGCTATGCTAGAATCATGTGGGGGAAGGGTGTAGGGAAGTGAAAGTATACTCCTTATGTATGGATATGCCATGCTTCCTTGTTTTTCCCAACCTATGTAGGATAATTCTTGCCAGACAAGTAAACTGGTTACATTAAACTAGAAAAATATAACAAAGAGAATGAAAGTATTTTATCAGAAACAAGTCAGAGAGTATAAAATGTTATATAGTAAACAAACTGTAAGAAGGCCTAACAACAGTTGTATCTACATCAAGGATGCAGGATAAAATCCACCTGGGTCAGAAAGTAAAAACCATGGTTTGGTTGTCTGAGATGACATGGGGAATTTCAAAGGCAAAGGGACACACACACACACACACACAAAATGTAGGCAGACATGAACAGAGCATTTCCTAGGCTAGAGAGACGATAGGCCTGACTGACTGACATCTTATTCACAAACATTGGAATAATAATGAGGGCTAGACATAGAAGTGTATACATGTGAGAGAGAGTGTGTGTATAGCAACAGAGAGGTATGCTAAGGAAGAGGGAGGCAAAAAGAGAGGAGCCTGAAGACTAGAATTCATAGTATTCTAGAATACTATTCTAGTATTCTAGCCTGAAGATTAGAATTCATACATGAATTGGACTATGGCTTCTCCTCCTAACTCATTCATAGCCACTCTCCTGGCTAACTCTGCACTTCACCACACATAACTTCTTTCTTTTTAAAAATATTCCAAGGTCATTTCTACCTCAAGCTTATGTGCTTAATGTTCCTTCCCCTGGTATTCTTTTCCAGAACTTAACATAACTCACTCAATTAATTCACTTGCTCGAAGGTCATTTCCTGAAAGAGGAATTAATTCTGACCATCTTATCTAAAATATCATTACATCCCATCCCACAACAGTCTCTAACCCTAATCCTGTTCAATTTTCTATTACAATACTTAGCCTAACCTGATATTGATTTTATCTGTTTGTGATATGTCTTCCCCTACTGAAAAATTAGTAGGCAGATACTCTCATCTTCCCTCCCAACCACCAGATATCGTGGATCTAGAACACTGCCTATTTATAAAATAAATGAGTGAGTGACTGAGTGAGGAAAAAAGCAATTTGCAAAACTACACAAACCTTTCTAAGAGTATAAGACAACTTTAAGAATTATGTTATTTATGAATACCCACAGATAAAACAATAAAAATATTCATAGAAATTTTTTTGCCTGTGGTAAGCAGGAAAAAAACGATGAAGAAAGGATGGAAAAAAATTTTAGTTGTGTGATTATCTTTTAAACCTAGATTTGAAACAAGTATCAGCAAATCATCTGTCATGGTATACAGATATGTTTACTTTCTCTACTTTTCTGTATATTTGAATATTTCATAACTCCCAAAATTCAGTATTTTTAATTTTTAAAAGTTGAAAAGTGAAAACAGAAGGGAAATTAGATTATGTTCTTTACTAGTGTCACTCTTTCAAAGCCTGTTAACTTTTCTATAAAATACAGATGATAGCTCCTTAGTCACTGAAATGTTCAAATAATAAATTATGTATATCTGACACATGCTTTACAAACTGAGGAATGCTATTCAAACATGAATTATGATCATTCGTATTCAGAAGGAAGAAGAGTCAAGACTTAAGAGACTGGCTGGATCGAGACCCGATTTAACTTTACCCACCACTGTACCACTATACATACCTTATGACCCCCCCCCACAAATCCCTGCCATTCTGCCCATCTGTGTCATCGAAGATGAATCTTAATCATCCTTAATGATGACCTCATCTCCATCCTCTTTCTTTACCACTCCTTGCTGAAGAGGCAACGGTCATTGAATATTTATAAAAATTAATTAATAAGACATTAGTAAGAACATATCTCAACTCCCCAAATGGAGTACAAAATAGTAAGAACATATCTCAACTCCCCAAATGGAGTACAAAATCCTTCCATGAGGAAGTCTTCAGCACCTGGCACTATTCCATGTGCCATACCACACACTATAAAGGTATTTAATAAATGACCATTGATTATTCTATCAACAGTACCTTAAAATTAGAGATAACTTATTTAAACTCATATGACTAAGATAATAATTCCACTAGTAGAATTAAGGACATTCAGAAGGTAGCTTTGTCAGTAGACATGATGATAAACTCCTTTGGAAAAAGGTCATGACTAGAGATACAAGTTTAGCAAGGTAAAGATGAGAAACAGATTTAAGATTTTGTACAGGAGCTGAAACAATAAGAAAAATTAGGTTTTCAAAAAAGTGAAAAGAATAGCAAGTAAACACCTAAATATTAGGAAACATTTATGGTTAGGAAAGACTAGAAAGAGATACTGATTATGAATTGTTAAAAAAACAGCTTAGGACTAGCTAAAATGGTATTGCAGAGGAGTAAACATATAGAAGAGTTTAAGGAGAATATGAACAAAAAGGCCAGTGACTTTGGTGAATGGGGATGCCATTAGTTTAACTTTAAGAAATCAGCTTCAAAAAAAACAATGGGTGTCAGACATATTAACCTAAGACTCAATACTAACATTTTCTTAAAACTAGCACAGAGAGAGGGCACAAATCTTGCACTCAATTCTGCAGCTCTTTGCACTTGAATGTCCCCTCTCAGGGGAGTAAACCTAGCAACCATTCAGATGTCCCCTCTCAGGGGACATAAAGAAATTGCTGGTGATTATACATAGATTATACACCAGTGCAAATTTTTCAGAAATATGTTTCCTTGAATTTTTCCATTCAAATTGCACAGAGAGAGAGAGAGAGAGAGAGAGAGAGAGATGGAATATATACTGAGATATATTAAAATATCAGCTGGTATTTCATAAAAAGAGAATGTGTGAAGTGCTTTCACAGTTATGCAGATTGGACAAATTACATAGTATCAATGTAGAAAGAAAGAAACCAGACTGCACTATTTGGTAAAACAGAAAAACACCAGGTGGAAGACATCAAACAAATTATTATTGCACATGTATCAATGAACCTGCAATGCATGTTGGTGACTGCTTCACACATTACCATATGTTAGAAAAAGATGTAAAATTTTGATTTTTTGTCATAAATATGTTTCACAATGTCCAAAATTCCATTATAAGTCAAGTATCATTACAATAAAGCAAGTGGTTCTAATGCTATACTGTTTAATATG